GACACAGTGAACTATTATGATTGATCTGTAAATTCTTTCTTCATTTTTATTTTGGACAGTTTTTATTGTTATATTCCATTATGTTTGTAAATAATTCATTTTAAATTTGCAATCTATTAAAAAAATTTTTTTAAAGAAAAAAAGGAAAAGTCTCTAAGTCCCTGCAAAAGCTTATACAAGGATATTCATAGCAGCATTATTCATAATAACCAAAAGGTGGACATAGCCCAAGTGCCCATCAACTGACCGATGTATAAACAAAATCTGGTGTGAAAACAGCACAATGCAACAAATGCAGCAAAATACTACTTGGTAATAGAAAGGGTGACGTACAGGTATACATGAAATGAACCTTAGAAACATTAGACTGAATGAAAGAAACAAGGCCTCTGCCAACATGACTCTACGTACCTGCATCTGAGATGCCCAGACAAGGCAACCTTTTCGCCATGGGCTTGGAGAAGGAACCAGGGAGTGAATGCTGAAGTGGCTGTGGTTTATTTGTTAGGAAATAAAAATGTTCCGAAATTAGGTGGTGGGGACAGTCACTCAACCTTGAGTGCACATGACTAAAAGCCACTCCCGAATGAGCCAGTCTGATGGTCTGGGAACTATGGATTTTAATTTTTTTAACTAAAAGTAGAGAGGCAAAGGTATATTGGTTTTGGAACTCCTATTTTCCCCATTCCAAGAAGCATGTGTAGTTTTTCCAGGAACACAGGGCCAAGGGAGGAATCCCCAGCCCAGTCCAGCTGGATTGGGAACAGCAGAAGTTACCCACAAGGGGCGCCACCTCCACATCTTGCTGGGATCCAGCCCAGAGGCCAGAAGTGAGAGATTCCTCTGAGAAGTGTTTCCAGAACTGCAACCAGAGAACCATTGTCCTCTGCATGGGTAGCTGATGGCTTCCCCTCCCGGAGTCTGCAAGCCACCTCCCATGGCAGTAGTCAGCGGCTCAGCTCTCTTCCAGCCGTATGTGGGGCCCCATTTCACTGGCCCCAAAGTTAGAAATCTCAAGTTGAAGTCGACTTCTGCAGTCTACTTGCTGTAAGGGCACAGCCCTCATATCCCTTGAGCCTCAGTTTCTTTATTTGTAAAATGAGACTTAATAGGATGGTTGTAAAAAAAAAACAACAACAAACAAACAAACCCAGGATGGTTGTGACAATTCAGTGAGATGGACCATGGCCAGAAGTGTGGAGGGACTGAATCCACTGTGGGTGGTGGGGTGCTGCATCCTGGATGATACCTTTAGTCGTGCTGGGTCTCCATGGCAACTCTGCTGGCACTACATGCATGCCCACAGCTTGAGCAGTTAGGGAGCCTTCCAGAACTGTCTACCTGTCTGTCCCTCAGCTCCCCAACACAAGTGTGTCCCTCATCTGTCCCCTTCTCTGTCCACCAGGGCCTGTGACCCCCGTAGGCCTACGGCTCTGCTCCTGTGCCGCCTGCCCAGGCAGCTCCACTTGCTGGCTTCGTCTGGGGCTTTGCCACAGCCGCATCTTCGATGTGCTCCTGCCTCGGGACTGGCAGGGCGTGCCAGGGAGAGGATTCCCCAACCTGCTCACCTTCTACAGGTTCCTGGGCACCTGGGGGGCTGGCCCTGGGGCTCCCAGTTCCCAGGGCCAGGCTCTGTCCCAATCCTTGGAAGCGGTCATGAGTAACTTCCTCTGGGAATGACAGACTGAGAAAGGCTTCTCCTGCGACAGCTGTCACCTGCAGTGGGATTGGCAGGCAGGGGCCTTTCTGACCAGACCCATGTCTGAGGGACCCACTGTCCTTTGTAGAGGGTGCTTGTGTCCTTTCTCTCTAGGACCTGCTTCTCAGGCTGTTCTGTTTTCCTTTCCCTCTAGAATCTCTCCCTTGCTTAGAGCACACTCCTTGCCCAGGTGTGGTGGCACACACCTGTGATCCCAGCACTCTGGGAGGCCAAGGCAGGTGGATGGCAAGTTCAAGCCCAGCCTGGACAGCTTAGCAATTTAGCAAAATCTTCTTAAAAACTTTTTGTTTAATTTTTTTAAGGGCTGAGGATATCTCCCTGGGTTCAATCTCCAATACCAAAATGAAAAACAAAAGACAAAAAAATACACAAACAATAAAACCTCACCTCCTTCATCAATTCCATGGGACTTGGGAGCTTGAGGACTTTGGTTTCTTGACCTGCCAAGGAATTTCCTGGAATTTAGTGATAAGAGCAGACTGTGACCATAGGCCTCCTCCAGGTAACCACAAGGCCTCAGACACTTTCCTCAGGTTGTTCCTGGGGTCTCCACCCCCTGGGGCTAAGCACCCCCAGGTGGCTCTGTGGATGGTGCCTTCCTCACTCCCCGCTGTATCACCCGCAATTCTGCCCACTTGTCCTCTTCCACAGAGCCATGCCAGGCCCACCTCTGCCCTTCCTACAGACCTGGTGTTACTGTATGCAGGTTCTAGAACCATCTCTACCTTGAACCATGTGCATTTGCCCTGGGAACCAAGTCCTGGACACTGACAGGCTAGGACACAAGACCAGAAGCACTGTGTCCAGGGAGGTCCTGGGAGTTTCAGAACAAGACAATGCTTGACTGGGGTCCAGCTGAACCCCTGGAAGTCCCCACAATGTGAGCTGAGCCCCAAAGAATCTTGGGATTCTCTATGAGTTAAACTGAAAAGAAAGAGCCAAGTGGGCAGAGAAAAGGCTAAAGCAAGGCTCAGAATCAGCATGAAATGAAATCCTGGCTCTTGGCTTAAAATCCATATTCTTGTTGAACCAAACTCCCTGCCTCAGTAGGATTTCTAGCAAAGGGCTGCCTTTTTGGAAAGCCTTCCTGGAAATGATTG